ATTCCTTTACCGCTGAACAATCTAAATTCATTCAATTATGATGTAGAATTAAATTCGGAATCGGATAATTGTCTCGATGAATTATCTGAAAATATAAACGACGACTGCCATGATAACGAATGTGTTCTATTTCCTAATTTTCCTAAAGAGAAAACATTTACTCAATATGAAAATGATGAAAATTTATTAGATATAATTTATGAAAATTTTCCTAGTAATTTTAAATTTTATTCTCAAGATGATTTTTGTGATTTTAGCGATGCATTAAAACATGCTCACATATTAACTCAAAATAAAAATTTAAAAATGTATGAAAAAAAGAAAAATGGATTTTTCCAACAGGGTAATAAACTTACCCTAATATTTAATCAACGAATACCGTATATTAAATTTGAAAATATTGACACATCTGAGGAAAATTCATCTTTTCATTTGAAACCGAAAAAAAATGGTTTCACTTCACTCATTGATGAACCACACACTAAAAAAAATCATTTAATTACAACAAAAAGTTTCGAGTGTATTTTTTTACAAGAATCTAAAAACAATGGAATATTTTTAGGTGATTTATTCAAACCGTTTTTACAAAATTCTTGGTTTGGTAGATTACCACAAGTTTAAATTATTATCAACATAACAATTATTATTATTATTATTATTATTTTAAATTGTTTCACACCAGAATGTTTTTCTTTCATTTTTTTTTTTTACCAATTTTTCTAAAAATTGTTTCTTTATGACACCTGTTTTTTTTTTTTTATTCGCTCAAATTGTACAGAATAAGTTATTCATATTGATAATTTATCAAGTTAAATTATTATTATTATTATTATTATTGTTATTATCATTATTATTTTTTAAATAATGTTTAATAAGTTTTACAATGACAGTTATAATTAAAATAAAATGTTAGAGAGATAATAACAATGTAATGGAAATCACATTAATTAATTTCTATTTTTAAATAATTTTTTTTTAAAGGAGATTATTATTATTATTACTATTATTATTATTATGTAATCGAAAATCGATTTTGTTTTATTTATGATAAACACGTGTGCGTTTGTGTGTAAGTGCGCGCGTGAATGTGTGTGTGTGTGTGCGTGTGTGTAAAAGTGTACGTTATTACCTTTTCAGATTTAATAATTAAACAAATAATAATAATAATAATGAAAATCGTGCTTTAAAAATAATTTTTTTTTTTTTTTTCTGTTGATGACTGACGTAGGAAATCCTACACACACACTTAATAAAAATGAAATTAATGTTAATAAATGTATTATTATTATTACAACCGTATTAGTATTGACAAAGTGTTCTAATTCATTCTTTATTTCTTTCTTTTTATATATAATTAAAATAAAAATTTTCGATTTGATCGATTATTATTATTATTATTATTATTGACTTTAAGTAAAATGTTCCATGTACATCATCATCATCATCATCATCATGACTAAAATTTTATATATAAAAAACATTTGAGAGTATTAGAGTGCTCATTTAATGTAAATATTAATTTGTGGTTGTCCGTTTTTGTTGTTGTTATTTGTATTATTATTATTATTATTATTATTATTATTATTATTATTATTATTATCATTATTATCATTATTATTATTATTATTATTATTATTATTATTATTATTATTATTATTATTATTATTATTATCATTATTATCATTATTATTATTATTATTATTATTATTATTAATACTATTATTATTAGACAAAGTGTTCTAATTCATTCTTTATTTCTTTCTTTTTATATATAATTAAAATAAAAATTTTCGATTTGATCGATTATTATTATTATTATTATTATTATTGACTTTAAGTAAAATGTTCCATAGTACATCATCATCATCATCATCATCATGACTAAAATTTTATATATAAAAAACATTTGAGAGTATTAGAGTGCTCATTTAATGTAAATATTAATTTGTGGTTGTCCGTTTTTGTTGTTGTTATTTGTATTATTATTATTATTATTATTATTATTATTATCATTATTATTATTATTATTAATATTATTATTATTATTATTAATATTATTATTACAAATAAACGTTATTGAAACTATTTTTCTTTTGCATTTCAATTAATTGATTGATTGATTTTTTAAATAAATAATCGACAAGAAAAAAAAAAAAAAATTCAATCGCGAATATTTATTATTATTATTATTACCGTACGTACCGCCATATAAATTTTTGCCAGAAAAATTATTATTATTATTATTTTTTTTTTTTACATTCGATTGATTTCATAATCGACTGATTTGTCGTTGATCGGACCATCACATAAAATTTTTTAATAATAGTAATAGTAATAATAATAATGATAGTAATAATAAGTAATAATAATAATAATAATAATGATAATAATGATAAAAAAAATTAATTATCAATAAACGAATGTGTTCATATGATTTTAATTATTTATTTTTTAATAACTCTCTCTCTCTAATTCTTACATTCCCGTACATATTTTTGTTTCTTTTTCCAAAAACTTTTCCAAAATTTATTAAAATGATGATAATAATAATAATAATAATAATAAGTAATAAATAACAATAATAATAATAATTTTTAATCATTTCCAAAAAAAAAAGAAAAAACTTATTCAAAACGAACTTAATAAAAATTTTAATAAATACGTATCGAGTAATTTTATTATTATTATTACTATTATTATTATTATTTATTAATGTCAAAATAATTAATGAGAAATTAATTAATAACGACTTGTTTCATCCCAATAAAAAAAAAAAAAAAGTAGCCGTACAAAAGGTTTGAACGCGTACGTGATCCGCGACCGGAAATAAAAAAAAAAAATTTTTTTTCCTCCCCTTCCCCTTCCCCCTCCCCACTTATTCACAATTTCCGCTTTTTGATTTTACCTTTCCTTTCGAATTTGTTTTCATTCAAACGAGGACATTCGTTTTTTTTATGTCCGGGCAAATGACAATGATAACAATTTTCATAAGGTTGAAATTTTCCGCACACGTGATCATTCAAACAACATCTTTTACACGTGTCGCAATGTTCGTACGAGGGTTTGACACATTTCGAACATTTAAAACAGTGAACCCACGTTCTCCCATCCTGAAAAAAAAAAAAATTTTTAGTAATAATAATAATAATAATTAATTTTATTAAAACTTCAATTCTAAACGTTTAATCCTTTTTTTTTCAGGTACGAAACGTCTCACTCACCTTCGAAGTGCAAAATTTGCACTCGTTGCAATGCCTGTTTTCGTTTGATACCCAATAATTGCAAGATTTGCAATATTTGTAACCCGTCACTCTTTTTAAATTTAATTTACTTAATGACACGTTCGTGAAAATTCGAACGGGCGAACCGAATTTTCTTTTTCTATTTCCGGTATTTGTAAACGACGAATGATTCTCGTAATTCACTTTGTAATCAAACATTTTAAATTCTGGTAAATTTCTTATTATGTGTTGTTCCATGTAGTATGGAAAAAACCAAAATGTTTCCAATATGAAATCTCCTAAATTAAAATTTAATTCGTGAAAAACAAACGAACAAACAAACAAACAAAAAAAAACAAAATTTCAATTTCAATTATAATTTAAAATCAAAGCACTTATTATTATTATTATTATTATTACATTTAATAAATACAGTCATTCGAAAATCAATAATAATAATAATAATAATAATAATAATAATAATAATAATAATAATAATAATTATAATTATAATTCATTATTCGGCACAAACAAAAACATTTTCAAAACAAGATTTTTTTTAACATTAAAAACATTTTTTTATCATTTATCATTATTATTATTATTATTATTGGTATTTAAAACTGTTTATTTAAGGGTAAAAAGTCTATTATTATTATTATTATTATCGTTTTTGTTGTTCTTTACTAAACTTCTAGAAAATCTTTTAAAAGTGTAGTTCTACGTTTTTCCGCAATGTCCATTTGATTTTCTAAATCTCCTCGATCCGTCGTTTCCGCGTGTTCGATTTTCCACGATAAATTTTCAATTTCCGCTTCCAAATGAGCTTGCTGATACTCGAACAATTCCTTTCTCGCACCCGGATCCATGTAATACGCGTATGGATATGTGTACTGCAACGTGTACCGGCATTTGGCCAACAAAGCGGCAGCCGACAGCAAGTACTGCCAATCGATCCACGTTCCCAGCGATTTCATCACTTTGCTGTTGATTCTCGTTTTGATTTTTTGCAACGTTTGCTCTTCCAATTTTAAACTTTTCGAATGATTTTCCCATCTTTCGTAGTAGTGCAAATATTTTTTCAAAGCTTCCCTCGCTTGAGCGTGCACGGATTCGTGAGCAATGTTTGGATTTTCTTTGTACCTTGAACATTCGTAGTATTCGGATCCGTGAGCTTTCCAATCTCCGAGACACATCCAACAAAAATCGTGTTTGCAATTGTAGCATTGCATGTGATTGCAACCCCCGTTTTTTTCAATGCATATGTGACATTTGGGACAATCTTTCGTGTGAGCACTTATGTAGTTGGCCGTTTCACTATCATCCGCACATTTTGTCAGCCATTTTTTTATCGTCGAACAATCCGTCGGAGCGTGATAGTCGGTCCCGCAGCGAAAACAAAATGTCGTTTTACAATCTCCGCATATGATTCGTTTCGCTTTCGGGTCTTTTGCACGCACTATTATCGGACAGTTCGGACCCGGACAAAATCTCAATTCCGGATGAGTTTTCACGTAATCCCGAAATGCAAATTCCTGATATTTTTTCCTCGTCGACGACCGCGTTAATAAATTTAATACAAAGTCTTCCGTAACCAACATTTCACAATCTTTGGCCATGCATCCGATACCCGTAGATATTCCCTGACGTATTTGAACTTCGAAATGCTGCGACCAACACACTCTGCAAAATTGATGACCGCAAGCGAGACTACGAAATTCCTCGTAGTTTTGTGATAAAACACACACCGGACACACAAGTCTTTTCTGTTTACACCCAACTTCCGGCGGACGCGGAGGTTTAATTTTTGAATCTACCAATAATTGAGAAACATCATTGCAATAATCGAGTATTATATCATTGACAGCCCATTTGTGAGTGTGCAAAAGTACTTTAGCAAGAGATGGAGTGATTTGGGCATTATTGCTTAATTTCTCGACAGATTCGTTAAGTAACTTCTCGACACCCTCAACTGTTAAGCAGTCAAACTCGAAATACTCTGGATCTGTTTTCCTCGGGTCGACTTGTTCGATATCACAATCTTCTCCTCCTGTATTGTAATAGTCATCATATGAGCAACCTTCATCGGAATAATCCATTTCAGAATCGTACTCCTCAGTTTCCATTGTTTTATTCATTTTAATTTTTTTTCTTATATATCACCTCATTTTAAAAAAAATATTTCTTTTTTTTTAATGTTAATTTTTAAGTTCATACACTCAAAGTCAGTGACATTGTATTATTGTTTGCTCTAACCATTTAAAAAAAAAATAACTTATTAAGAAATAATAATAATAATGATAAATTTTATTTAATTTTTTAATTTCGTGTCATGTATTTTGTATTAATTATTAATATTTTCTAATGAAACAATTTTAATTTTGTCAACTGCATTTTTAAAAAAAACAAACGTAGAAAATATTATGGCTACAAATATTGATATGAAATATTTAAAAACATTAAATAATGCCTAATTTAAAAATAAGCATAAATCAATTTTTAAAAAATTCTGACTCAACTTTCACTACTTTAATGATTTAGAAAATAAAATAAACGAGTAACATAACATGTGAGCAACATTATATTGAAATTTAAATGAAAAATTTTTATTCCTATAAAAATTTTTTTGTTTCAATGTAAAATTAAAACATAGTTAAAATCTCTCAGAGAATATTGTGAAATATGTCATTAATTTAACTTAAAAGTAATTCTTTCTATTTCTTTGGAAATAAAAAAAAAATTGCTATTGGGCAAGATAAAATATTAATAATGCTTCAGAAATGAATTTTTTTTTAAATTTTAAAAAATTATTGGAATTGTCAAAATAATTTTTTACCTTAAAGAAATATAAAAGTGA